GTGAAGGGATGAACCCATGTTTTATCGCTGCAAACATATCGCTGCAAAAAATTAATGATTTATTATGTGTAAACATGGCCAAGCCCTGCTCTGAATCATCAACACGTTGTTGTTTTTGATCGACTGTGAGTAAACGTGGCACGCAGTTTGAAAAGAGCTTTCTTATGGTCAAATGTTCATGCATAATTGTAAACACACTGTCTTCTGATATCTTTACGGTCTCAGCAATTTCACGCAATTTCAATTGTAGATTCCGGATAACAATTTTGAAGCCTATGCTGAGCTTCTACAGTATTTTTTTTAGCAAGAAGAAATGATAAATTAACACACGAAATTGTTTTGAATCCATTGTTTTGAAAATAAAAGTAGCTTCACTTAAATGGTTGTCACTTTTTTCTGACTTATCGAAGTGACGAAATTTTACATGTAGGCTTTTAAAGGTTTGAAGGCTTTTCATAAACGTCATATGGATTTGATAATGGCACCGCCATCTGTGTGGCAGTCACACGACTTATTGAGTGATGTGTTATTTACAAATTGGCAAAATGGTCTTGGTACAGATGACGTTTTTCCAAGTAGTATAGCTTTATAGCAGTCCTCCATTTGTTGATTTAAAGTAGCAATGTTTTGTTTCAGCAATTGTAATTCATTGGCTGAGGCGCTACTTATTATTTTTGCAGTAGCTTGACGATGGCAAATATTTTGAAAAGCATATTATAATAAGATTTCCTTATTATTATTCATTTTTTCCTATATTATATTTTTTATTTATTTCTATTTTATTTCAAAAATCAAATTTTTAAATTTCAATATCAAATTTTAAAATATCCCAAATACAAATAGTGTTTTGAGCATGTAATTTCATTTGTAAACAAAAAACATATGATTTCGGTAATTTGGGGCAGTATGAACACTTTCGAAACGAACTTAATTTAATTTTTTCGAAATTAAGGAAATTTGGCTGTCTGAACATAGCATAATAAGTATCATCTACTTACAATTGAAATGTAAACAAAGAAAAGCTCTGCTGAAACTTTTACAGAACTTTCTGTTATATAAAAGCTCTTTCAAATGCATAAATCAGCTTATGCCAATTCAAACGACAAAATCTTAAATACTAATGTATTTACATAAGTAAATTTAGCTGCAGTGGAAACATAACATATTTCTGAACTTAACATTTGGAATACTCCATACTTACTGTTATGATATATAGGTAGGTGAATTCACAACTTAAAAGTTTAAACACATTGAAAATTAATGTTGCGAATAATATTTGTAGCTGAAGATGTCGCTATAACTGAAACTAATACTTGATTCACCGGAGAGCTTTGTTTGTAATTTTAGCTGTCATGTTTGTTATTTTAGGTGTCAATTGTTGTTGCTTTCAATGCAAAATCGACAGATAAGTTTCTGACAGATAAAATTACAAACAAAACTCTAGTACAAATTCAGTTTCAATTTGAAACATATTTAACTTTTCTATCTCTAGCCTTAATTGATTTCATGATATCTTATTTGATGTTAACAGAAAAATGGAACTTTGAATTATATGTGTAATTTCATTAAAATAATTACAATTAATTTTGGATTAAATAATTCAAAAATAAAATTTAGTATTTATATAAACTATATACATGCATATATTTTGTTTTTCCTACATATGTATTCATAAATATCCATGTGAAAAATGGATGAAATTTGGTGAAACTCCTTGAGACAAATGCGTATAAAATAATGTGTGTACTTGGGGCACAATAACATTAATACCACTGTTACTCTGGAGTCCAGTTTTGTTCACACCATGTGGACGTTTTTTTAAGTCGTTATTTATAAAATTTAATTCCAAATCATATCGCTCTTTTGATTTAAGGAACAGATAATTACAATTGCTTTTCATGAATTGATATATTGATTCATAAAACTTAGCAGCTGATCTTTCTTAGTATATATATATAAGTCGTATTCCATCAGAAACATAAAGGATTTATATAGAGCCTCCAGTTGTTTCTGTTTCTGGTTAAATGCCGTAGTTCGTTGAAGGTTTTATCAGTTTATCAGTTTATGCGTATATCTCCACTGGTCATAATGCATCTATTTTTATCTGTCAACCCATATCCATGACATGCAGAGCCTGGTTATGTCTTGCCATATTTTCGTATGAAAATCGTATGAAAATGAAAAGTGATATGGTTCGGTATTCATGTCGTACTGTGAAATATGGATATTTGTGGATATTTGAATTAAGCATTTAAAAAATATTTTTTTTTCAAATACAGAAGCATATAAATATTTAAATTTAAAATTTAAATTTTAAAAGTTTATACTAATGATGAGTACTTGGCAATACTCGAAACAGCGTTATATGGTCAATCTAATTTCAATAAATTAACTAAGTCTTTATTCTTGTTTTGTTTTTCTACCAATAATTTATTAAATAAAATCGATTTTTAACTAAATTTAAAAATTAATTCACCGCTTGTTCAGTAGGAAATCAACTGATCCATTCTACCTTATGAAAAGTAATATATTCGATTATTCATCCAAATAGGGGGAAACACAAGAATCGATCAAGTTTGGGTGTTGGACGTAAAGGTATGAAAAGTTTTATACCAGCTGACACCAACATTAAGCAATTGCATTCCATTTTTGTGTGTGTAAACTTTTGATGATCGCATTCAACTAGTGTTGTTTGTGTATTTATGTTATATTGGGTAACACTTTGTCATCATTATTTACTTTTTCTGTGTTCAATCATTTACGTTCGCCTCGAATCAATAATTGTTTCTTTAAAGTAATATGGCGTTTACATTGGCCGAAAATGGCTCATTTTGGTTATAAATCGAAAATGAGTAGCGAATGGCTCATTCTTGTATACAAACTTTCAAGCGCGAAAATGAGCAATTTTCTCACATTCTGTACGAAAAATGTTCGAATGCATTCCACATATGTTCCAAATGCAAATGAATCCATTGAACATACCCTCAATAAAAGCTTTTCATGGCATTTTGACAGTTTGAGAAAGCTGTTTTTGACATATTTACAAAAAAAGGAAAACAAATGTTTGGTGGTTGAATTTTCTTGAAAACGATGTACCTCTTTTTAGAACTTCTACTTCCCAAAAGGTAATTAATCAAAGTTAAAAATATGTTTTAAGTTTTGTATTGTAAGGTTTGAAAGCATATTTAACCTTCATGCAATATTTTTTTGGCACAGGCCAAAAATCAAATCAACAAGCAAGTTGAAAAATCAGCTGTTTGAAATGAGAACAAACGAATTACAACGAATGTAAACACTTTCAAATGGCTCATTCAAAATGAGCCATTTTCGGCCAATGTAAGTGCCATATAAGAATGTGTCAGCTTATTCCATTGAACACAATTAATTTAATGTTCAATTGGTTCTAACCTTTACAGCTATGTGTACTTCGGCAAGACTGTTTCGTTTTCAAGAAAACATCAAATCAATGAGGATGTAATTTCAATATTCCAAGAAATTACTTATTGTGTTAACAATTCCTTTATATTTAACTCGATCATCACGTTTATGCGAACCTTAAAATTTGTTTTAAGGTTCTTAAAATCGATTTTAAAACTACTTAAAAGCACTTTTAGCTTACTAAAAGCAGTTTATCATCACTTTTAGTAAGAAACATCACTTTTAAGCATTGCGTAAACATTTTAGGTCTGTTTCACGAGCTAATCGTAGTAAAATTCAGGTAAAACACATGTAAAGTACAAACCGAGAGCGTAACACAAACTGAGAGCGTGCCAAATTTCGCTCATTATGCAGATTTTCATAAAACAGGTTTGTGTAAAATCTGGTGAGCACACCAGTGCCACGCAAATAAGAAACACAAAAATTTAAATTCTAACCAAATCAGCTGATTCACACATCACTCAAATTTTACTTGAAATAAAATGTACGAGTAAACTTTGTGTAGCATTTTCAAATTTCGACAGGTTGTTACGCTCTCTCACATGCTCTCAGATGCTCTCATATACTCGAAAATTTGCTGTTGGAACGCACTTATGTATACAGATTGTTACTCAAAGGTACTACGAGTAAAGGTCGTGGAACAGACCTCTTAAAAGCAGTTTAAGATTTGAATTTTCAGCTGTTAACTATCAATAGGTATTTGAATTTTATTACAAATAACACAGTTGATAAAAGAAAACCTAAAACTATGAAAAAAAAACGGAAAACAAAAATTGGATTGAAAAAGTGGAAAAGTATTTTATTAAAGTATTTGCGGAAGAAGAAATAGTAAAATTTTTAGACGGCAAGAACTATAAAAAGGCCACAATTTATGAAATAATTCATCAAGAAATAGAAGTCAAAAGTATTGTCATTTTATTAAAGAGTTGTAACCGCATTTTTCGTAATTTTGTTAATTTTATACGGGATATTTGTAAAATATTGATTGTTTTATTATATTCTGTTTTCTTTTATTATTTATTATTTTCTTTTATTTTGGTGATAATATCTTTCTTTTGCAATTTGTAGTTATACTCTATATAGTATTAGGTGGAACGAATCAGCTGATTGCTTGCGGTACAACAAATTCAGCCTTAACGGCTTAAAAAATATATTTATTGTAAATTTCGCATATCTTTAAATAAATGTTGTGTAGCAACCTTGACTAATTACTATAGTCTTATTAAAAGCCAAAATCTGTTTGATGCCACCGTGTAACTTAAAACTTTGCCCAAAATAATATTTTTATCCTATGACTAGTACCAATAAATTAAATTAAACAAAAGGAAATGTTTATTTAAAAGAATATAGTAAAATAATTTTTATTTTTAAAAAATAATATATGTGTGTTGTGATAATATTATTTATATAATGTATAATACTTTTGCTTTGCGGCAAAATATGGACCTTCCACACAGTATAATTGATAAAATCTGTTATACGTCAATTGTGATATTTTGTGTATAGATTTTAGGTCAAGTTTGGTAATGCCATTTTTTGAAATATCGAGTATATTCCTTTATTGCAATTGAATATAGGTTCTCATTCAATCTTTTGCGTTTGTCAAGTTACAACACACGTTTGAGTTTAATTTCTTTCTAAATTACTAAAGGTAAGCTGAATATTTTTATTAATTTTATTATTTTTATAAAAATTATATATAAAATAATATATATATATGTATTTGTTGTGTTATTGTAACAAATATTAATTGTTATATTTTGTTATAATTTAATGCTATATTAATTATATTTGTTAATTAGTTATTTTTTTCAAATATTGAAAGAGTCGTATCTAGATTTTATATTGAACTTTCATTTCCGTTTCATGCGGTTTTTATGCATTTGATTCGCTTGTAAGATTTCTTGTAAGAAAATAACGCGCCTTCTTATTAGTTAATTCGCGGTTGAACTTCGGAAGTGCAAGTGGGCGAAAATATTACCGTGGAAATTTTTAATTGCTGCAAGTGAGAGCAATTAATAATAGTTATGATTTAGCTTTTTTTTCGGAAATTTTGCAATCTGTGAAGTTTTACTAAAGTTTAATGATCAAAATTGTTTAATTTGCATTTCTATCAATAAATGCTTCTAATAGATTTAAAGTGTGGATTCTTAGAATTAAATTAAAGTACCACTAAATTCACTCTTCAAATGTATAAATATGTGTGATTATATTTGTGGACAATAGTGCTAATATTATTGTTTAAAAATATTATTAAATTTTTGTTTCAAGTATTGTTGTAAACAATTTCACAATAACAATTTTTTCAAATTTCAAAAAAATAATAGTTTGAAGTATTTATTGCTAATTATTTTGTGAGCTGCTCATTTTTGCATTGGATTTCATTAAATTAGTATTTTATTGAAATTATATATATGATTTAGTAGATAGTTAATTAATATTAAATATTGTAAAAGTGACATTTTGAATTTTATGAAGACAAAAAAATGCGGCATTGTAACTACTTCGTTAGTTTTCGGCTCTGTTCGTACGTATAGCACCTAACTTTGCTAATTATTTTTTCTTTTTCGGAATACTTTCAGAGCAAGTTCAGTACGTGAAGTGTTCGGTGAAGTTGGCTGAGGTATTTTTTCAAAAGTCTAATTCGATTCTAATTGTTAACAAAAATATAAGAAATTTTCAAAAAAAAAACATTTGCATAAACTTAATCTACAAGTAAACGGTATTATTATATATTTAAAATATTAGTGCTGTATATAAACTAGATTATATATTATATTAGTTGATTATTACAATTAGTTTCTGGACAAATGCAGTGTCATTATTTGCTTTTGTACTATGAAACATGTTAAATTACTGTAGTACTTAAAATTTATTAATCGTTAATTTAATGGTAGAAATAAACTTTTTACCATAAGGAAAGAATCAGTCTTCAGTAACATTATTGAAGTGTTTGTTTGATGTATACGAATATAATTTCACAATATTTTACAATTTTAAAGTATTTTCGCAACTAGTGTAGTATGTAGAGTTCGCTTTCATCGTAAGTTCCCGATTCATTTCGTTTTGTTTCTTTCCGCCATTTTGTTTTACGATTATCTGTCCTTTCGTTGTTTAGTGTGTTATGTGCTTTTTGATTTTCGCAAATTCTTATGTGCGCAACTTAGTTTTTCTACTAACCGTGAATTATTATTAATGTATTAATATGTCAATTTTATTTTTTTAACTAGATATCATATTAATTGCTAGCATCAAAATTATTCCGGCAGTGCTATAAACTAATTACTGTAAAAAGTTATTTTCCAAATTGGTAGGGATATATACGCTATACAGATGTCCATCCAGCATAACATTACCACTTTTGTAATCAGTGTATTGGAATTTACAGACTAATTACTGCTTTAGGGCTGAGTTAGTCGGTAGATACTGTAAGAACTTAAATTCACAACCATCCAAACCTGTCTATTTGATAGGAACGAAATTAACAAAATTCGCCGCTTTTGTTCATTCCGTTCCTATCAAATACAAAGGTGTGGTTGATTGTGTATTTCTCTATGGCTTAAGTTCTTACGGTACGTACCGACTAAGTGAGCCTTTATATAGTATTGCAATTTTTGAATTTACATTGAAAGCAACAACAAATGCTGTGGTAATCGATGAATTTATCGCCTGTGTAACATGCCTTTAACATTTGAAAGTAAGAACAAATATTAAATTGCCGTTAATTTGGTCGCCTCATCATCATTTTGGCATCACAGTCCATGATGGACCATTGCCTCCTCTACAATACGCTTCCATTCATCTCTGCATATCGTGATTTGCAAGAATTATCAGTAAAAATCTGTTATATGTTTGGTAGATTATTTCTATGAAGTCAGTTTGTGCTTATATAACACGATCTTTCTGCTGACCATTGTTAGGAATGTTATATCAGAAGCCAGTATTTTATTTTTATGTTCAATAAATATCGAAATTAGCGTCTAGTTTTAAGGTATTTTTTGATTAAAATATTAATGGCATAGCGAAGTTTCTGTTTCTGTTTTAATAAAAAAAATATTTAATAATCGGAAAAGTAGTGTACAATTATCAGTTTTTGTATGTATTTATATATTTAAAATATGAAACAGTTTGCAACTATAGCTAATAATGATAGCAATAAGCTGTATAAAGTAAATAAAACCTTAAGTTTAAATGGAAATATTTGATATATATTAAATTAAATTGATAATAAGATAGTTTTTGCAATCATTATTTATAACATTCATTTTTTATATTATATATTATTTTAATCGGAAATAAAAGATTTGTTATATTTAAAGACTAGCTTCCTGGTCAGTTTTTATGTTGTCACATATTTATAAAGTAATTCGTTCGATTTAGAGAATTAAAGAAAATACAAATTTATTTTTATTAAATTTTAATTATTATTTTAATGAACACTGTACACCGTTGTCAAGTTATCGGTTAATAAGCATTTCAATTGGATGTTAGTACTTAGTACTAGGCTAAAAATTGTGCAATTTTATTAAACCAGCAATTTCTTTTTTTAAAAATTATTACAACACAAAAACTTACCAACATATTATATAACATTTAAAATAATGTTTTTTTTTTTGCATTTTGATTATATTTTTATTCTTAATAGCTATACGCGCTGTATTTCTTTTTTCACAAATTCTCTAATAATAAATTGTGGCTTGATTATATTATAGTTCAACGTTTATTTAAAATACTATTTTTAATATACAATATACGCAATGTATATATACATATTCTTATATAAATTTATGTACCATAAATTACAATTATTTTCTTTTAAAGTGTATTTTTATATTTCTCTTTATATAATATTTATACATAAATTTCTTGTATATTCATTACTTATATATATAATTTTTATTTATAAATTACATTAAATTATTTGTATATTGATACAATTCTTGTGATAATTTTTACAAACTTACCCACTTTTTCTAGAAAAAATAAAAAGTATCTAAAATTCTGTTCATAATTGTTTTGTTTTTGGTTCTGACTTTATTATTATCGTATAAAATTGTGCTATCCAACTTTTTCTTAGATTTTATTGCAGATATAAATCTCAATAGATTTACAAAATTTGTTTCCATAAAAACCAATAGTATATTTTTTACAGTTAAACATAAATATTAGTCAATTCAAAATCCTAGGCTTTCAAGTTATTTCTAATTAGTGCCACTGATCTTAACTTGGATTTGACAATTCGATTTTGAATTTTTTCTACTTCACCCTGTATACCCTGAGGATTTTATTAATAAGTCTTTATATTTTGTTAACAAAAATTCATATTGCATTTTGCATTAATTGTGACTGAAAAATATATTTTAATAAATATCTTTTTATTGGTTAATTGTTTATTAGCATAAAATTAGCAAATATTTTAATCAAATTTAAGATAATTAAGATTGGAAAAAATTATAATGTGCTGAAGTTTAGGTTATGACGACGACGGTGCTTATAGAAATCCACCTATTCCTATTGACCCATTGTGTTACTGTACCAAAATTGGAGAGTTTTGAATAATCCATTTTTAATTCAAATTTAAATTTTTGCTATCCTTATATGTACAATTATACTCGTATATTATTTTTGTGTTGATTTTTCAATATAATAGCAAACATATGAAATAATTAAAATTTATTTTTTTATTTTATAATATGTTATAATTGAAAAATTTACTATAATATTAAACAATTAACCAAAAAATTAAGTATAAAATTAAAACATTTTAGTATAAAACATATATATTCATTATATTAAAATATTATTGTAGATTGAATCCTTTATAAATATCTAATCCATAATCCTAAATCTAATCCATCCTCATCACATCACATTTTCTCTAATTCAATTATTTTGTTGATAATAGTTTTAAAAGAAGTAAAACGTAAATTTGTAAATATCATTTATTTTAAAAATAAATATTTTCTTCTTTTTAATATAGGTATATACTGTATAATGTCTCTTCAACCAAGCGTAAGACCACGTGTTCGTGTTCCTTCACCTCAACTTATGGGAAAAGTTGGTATTCGTCCTGTCATGACGTTTACGGGTCCCAGGGTTAGTATATCATTATTACTTTTGAACAGTTTCAAAAAAATAAATCAAAAAATATATATAATAAAAATATTTTATTATAAAAATATATTTAATAAATAAAACCTAATAAATATAAACCACAATAATTATCAAATTTTATTATAGATGTCTTTTCGACCAAGGATTCCACCTTCTGTTAACGTTGTTAATAGACCATCGGTAATTGCTGATACCTTTAAGCCACGCGGCGGTTCAATTTCTGTTCGTCCAAGGGCAATATTAGCATCACCCCAGGCTGCAAAGCCTGATTCTAATGATTCTGGTATTAAGACACGATATATGTTATTTATTTTTAGTACATTTATT